CTTGCAGTATTTCAGAAATGGAAGTAATACTTCATAAAGCACTCGACTCTCAGGGGGTGCAAACAGAAAGTTGAACTTCTTATATTCATCCATGAAAGACTAACAGGAGGAGAGACACCATATTCCTCTGGTGCTGTTTGCCAAAGCAGCTGATAACTTAGGGGAGAAGTGAGGAAGAGGGGAATTTAACACTAACAGTGCATATTATGCATGGCTTATCTGCCTGGTCCCTGGAAGACAACATGAAAGAATAAAATATGCTTGTCAAAAGCAAAGCCAGTAGGGTGAGATCTCTGTCCGCTGCCACGTTAAGGACTCAGGCTAAAACAGTGCAGAAGCACTGCTAGTCCTGCTCAGTCCTCACGGTGGGACTTCCCTGGTGCCTGCGCCCTGGGGTGCACACCTCAGCGCTGACAGGACGCTGCGGTGGGACCCCTCGGAGGAAACATAGCCATTCCTGTTACGAGATACGAATGTCATTACAAGCCTCGATGCTTTTTTGGCATGACGAATAGCAGTGCACTCAAACCTGCTGCCCAATTTCATACTCTGGCAGCTCAGAAAGGCATCTGTTGGCATGCAGTTTTTGTTAGCTAGCAAGCTGAGGGGAGGCTTATGAGATGAACTGGCTTAATGCTAGTTCTTTGCACAGGCTGAATTTCACTCCATGCCATTAAATACAGCTCGGGTGACTTTTGCCCACCATTAGCCCCCTTTAGGAGTCTCTCCGTGACTGGATTTTGATAAACCCTTTCTGCTTGTAAATAAAGTCCAGACTAAACATTTTTCCCTCTATTTTTTTCCGAACTGCTGCTTTGTGATGGACCTGCTTTCTTGTTCTTTGAAGTTCTCTTTCTTTCTTTTTTTATTTTTTTGATTTTAACAGTTTCACTTCTAACTGAAGTCCAGAGCCTGTAGAGAAATGCTTTCCCTTCAGCTGGGCCTCTTCCTATCTTATCAAATAATATTAGCTTGCACTCCATTTATACCACATACAGCCTCAGAAACTCTCATAGCTTTTAACCTGTCATGTAGATTAAGACCTCATTAAATTTCATACTACCTTCAGCATGATCATGTTACCTAATGTTAAAGATTTTGGAGCAACATAATCAGCACTGATACAGAATGAAAGCAGAGGGGTCTTTCATTGTATGACTGCTTGTGACTTCGTTTTCTAGAGGAAAATTTACTGTTGGTGCAGTCTGGCCCACACGTCTGTGTGAGCTCTCTCTGGGTAAAGCATGCCTTGGATTTCCTTTCACTAACTGATTGCATGACCTATGTTTCTGAATTTAAATGAATGTGTCCACACTTATAGATCAAATATGGACATCTGAGAATCAGTAAAGTGTGTGTGCGTGCGTGTGTGTGTGTGCGCGCGCGCGCACGTGCGTGCACATATAAAGAGATATACATACACATATATGTTTACTTAATATCTATATTTATGAATAGGTATAGTTATAACTTTCCCCTGCATTTTTCCAGCAGTTCTCACACTTCCAGGGGCCGTTGGCTCATGTCAGCAAAAAAAAGCTGTTCAGAGAGGAATAAGTAAAACCAAATGGGGGAACATGTTCTCCTGTTTTAATGTTTGCAGCACTATAGCAGCTATAGGTCTCTGCAGAAACTGGAAGTTTTTGGTGTGAGCATTGTGTATATAGTGTTAAAGCCCTGCCCTGCCCTAAAAACTTTATATCTAAAGCACGTTAAATAGGAGAAAATACCATTACTCCAGTTTTATAGATAAGGAACAAAACTACTAAATGACTTGTTCTCGGTCGTCTAGGAAATCAGTGACAAACCTCTTCTATCACAGCCAGTACCTTTGCTACTAGTCCAGTCTTTGAACTCTACTATTCTGGCAGTGTTTCTAGTCATGTTTCATAGATACGGAAAATCCTAAGAAAGAGATAAAAACACCTCAGTCTTACACAACATATGTCCTTGAGGATTTGAGCATCTCCCCACAGTTCTGTGTTTTCCCTAATAACGTGTCGCTTAACTGAGATGTAACACGCTGCAGAAGCTGGAGTCAGGTTTTCCTCAGGTTTTACCTGGAGGTCTAGCATTTGATTCATCTTGTCTCTCCTAAGTGCTTAGATAATTATCCAGAAGTCCTTACCATGGCATTATGAGACCTCTCCATGGGAGAGCATCAGTTAACAATAACTTAGATGTATTTCTTACTTATTTTCTTTCACTTTTAAAATTACGGAGGAGTAGGTAAAATAATGGCATAATATTATTTTTCTCTTAAAAGTACATCTTTTTGGGTTTGGGGATTTTTTTTTAGGGAGAAGAGACATTTGAAGAGGAATGAGAGAGCAATACCAACTCTCTGCACGTGTTCACTGTAAATCACTTGCTTGTGGAGTCCCAAGAGGCTAACTCTATTGACCTGTACCCCTCCACTGCCAGCAGATCAGCCTCATCTCATTCTCCGCTGCCCGAGTGCGTGGATGGCAGCAGAAATGGAAAGCTCTTGTACCTTGCAGGATGAGGCCTTCACTTAGCTAAGCCCAGATAGCCACTCAAAGGACTTCCCTGTGTCACATCTTTTATAAACTCCGCCATGCTTTTCCTGTGTCTGTGCAACGTCTCAGTTCATTAGGAAGACATGAGATAGCAGAAGGCACGATACGGCGCATTTTGGATCCCCCAAGCCCGGGAGATCCTCCTTCCTGTACCATGCATGGGACCTTTAACTTTAACCTAGCCGTGCCTTTTGTCTGAAAGGGAGAGACTATTTATGAGGAGTCATACAAAATAAACATGAAGAGTTCACCATAAAATATGACAACCACTTTAAATAATGTTGACTTAATTAAACTTTAAACTTTATTTATATATTTTATGGCTGTAGTGTGAGCTCTTCTCGGATGTTTACTTCAGTGAAAAATCCATCATGTGAGGGCCTTGAAAGGAATTAATCCCCTTACCCCTGGCACAGAACTCAGCTCCAACAATTCAGATCTAAATATTTAGTGATGGATGATACATGTTTATAGAACAGAGGGCAGCATGACATTTAAATGGGATCCGGGGTTGCTATAGTGAGCGTACATTGTTGAAAAGAAACTGGAAGCTGAAGCCATGCCAATTATCGGAAGCTGATAAATCAGCCCCTTTTTGCATGATTTTTCCCTTCCATGCATCCCTTCTGGGTTTTTGAAGGCTTCTTCACAAAGGGTTATGAACAATTTTCTGAAGGAAAAGTTCTGCTGACTCTTGTACATTTGGTAGTGCATCCCATGGTTAAACTAATAGCCTCATTGGGTGTCAGCCAAAGGTTACAGGCCTTTCAAAATATTCTTGGAAAAAAAAGAGTTTATCACTGAGCTGAAGTTTCTCATTAGTAACCCTGTGTTGTCTAATCTGTGAAATTACATGATTAACTCTTTTGCAGAGACAGCTTCAGCCAGAGTTTGCAATCCCACAGGAAGTTATTAAAAGTATCACCAAGATAATTTCCCTGCTTTGTACTTGGCCCTTAGGGTAAAGGAAATACATCATTAGATGAGTACTTTATAATAAAGCTATAGATCACTAACAATTATTAAATGGCTGTCAAGAATGATTATTATTTTAAAAGTTGAGGACTGTGCAATTTGAAAAACAAATAAAAAACCTTGAAAGAAATTACTTCCTTTGTTTTTGTATAGAAATTAGAAACATGCCTTCTCCCCCCACTCTCTTTGAAGTGATTATTGGAATATAATCTTTCTCTATATACAGCCATCTTACCTTCAACTTTTCTTTTTGTAATTCTAAAACCAGCCTTAATTAAAGCAGCTGCTTACTATTGAGAGAAAACTCCTCTGTGACCCAGAGAAGAGCAGGATCTTTTTGCATGCACTGAGAATAACACCTTTATGCATTAACCACGAATCCCCGATGCTTCTAGTCACTGAAGCAGAGGTGGTGGTCCTTACCCAGGACCTATCCTGGCTTTTGGTGAAAGTTGAACTCGGGGATATCTGTGACACAGAAAGCCCATCAGTCACGAATTTTAACTGAGGTCACTTGCAGATGTTTTCCATGATTTGTCATACTTCTTTTTTGACTTCCTATGAGTTCCTCCCAGATCAATGCGTGTTTTAGATTGCACCGTTTAGGAGGAGGGGGAACAGTTCAGATCCTTATTAGCTTCCCCAGCTGGTTAGTAATATTCGTTTTTTCTCCTTTTTATTTTTTACTGTTTGTTAGTGAAGAAACGGAGTAGTGAGAAGAAGGAGATTTGGACAATGCCAGTACAGCCAGCCAGACTGTGGTGACAGGCTGTGACACAATTATGCTGCGTGGACAGGGACGGAGCATCTACAAAGCAGTAGACAAATAGTCATGAGAGGGCTGACAGAGGTAAAGTGCTTGGAAGCAGGAACCAGCACGGACTCTGCTTGTCCTCAGATCATACCCAGCCAACCACTTCTGTGTTTTGTGGGTTAGCTATAAACCCAGCAAAAAACTGAGCTGGAATGTTCAAAATATCATAAGATTGTTCCTCCACCTCGTCCAGAAAAAGCACACTGCTATCAAACACCTGTGAGAAAGTCTGTTCTTGATCCTGTGAGAAAACCAGATCCTTCAACCAAGTTCGTTTTAGGAATTAACAACACAGAGAATCTCAGTCTCAAAGTGCACTGCAGGGCTATCCTTGCAGCACAACTTTTGTGATTTCATCTAGTTACAGAGTCTCGGTATGACTCAGTATGACTAATGCATCCATTCCATATAATCTAGGAGTTAATGAGCAGTGCTCTGAATCAGGAGAGCTGATCTCTAGTCTCAGCTGCATAAATATGCTACCAGTCAAGTCATTTTATCTTTCTAGGCCACATTTTTGCTTTCTCTCATAACTCCTTCCTGACTTTTTACATACCATGATCTCCTAGGAGAGAAGATACTGTATAAGCATAATATACATTTATACATTTTTAATGTAAGTGCAATTTCCCAAGAATTAAGAACTTTGAGCTCTATTGCTGCTCACTGACCTTTTCCATTCTGTATCATTTGCATTGGTTAAAACCGGTATCCTCTTTAAGTGTTCCTCTTTAAAAGTTGCTCCAATCTGCTCATTCTTTTTTCTGAAAAGTGATCTGAGAATGGCCTGGATTAATCTTTAATCCTGTTAATGCTTAACCTAAGATCTACATGTCTAACACTTTTCAAAAAGCTTAGAAAGGGGAGGGGAGTTTGTCTAGATTGGTGTATACATATGATAATATTCCTCTTATTCCAGTTCTAGTTTCTAAAAATATAACAGGAAGCCATTCTGAAATGCAAGATGTGTTATAATTTAGTTAGGGTAACTCAGTCTCTGTAACCTTCCATGATCTGCAAGTGACAGAGAAATATTTTTACGTTTTGTAGCATAAGAAAAAAACAGACTGATAAAATTTTCTCTGGTGTTTCCCTAGTGCTTGTTAATCAATTAAAGAGAGATAACCTGTTCTTTCCTCAAAACTTTTTCAAATGGAAAATAATTCTAGAATATATTCAGACTTGTGGTGCTTAAATAAATGCAACCTAAATCTTTTAAGGTTTGTTTATTATAAGTGTAATGCCTGGGTTTTGACTTGAGGTTAGAAAACCCTTGAAGATCCATTGAGAAAAAGATTACTGAGGGATCTGCAAAAGGTAGCTAAGAAAAACAGACCTATAGTCACAAGAATAGTTTAAGCTGTCTATGCAAGTATCCATATATCTACTGGAAAACTTTCAGGAGTCCACAAATCAGAAAACGTTGAAAATACTGAGGTACATTCTACATGCACACTTTCAGGACGGAAAAGCATTACAAAACAAACCCCACAAATGTTAATAGAAAATCTCTCACTCAGGTCTCTCACTTTGAACTGGGATTTTATAATGTGGGTCTCCAAATTTGCAGAAGACAAGTAGGCATGCACTCCAGAACTGATCAGAAAAGCAGTATCAACACAGTTCTGATTTGGACGGTGAATACAGTGTACAGTTTTCTTTCAGTAGTTTCTCGTTCTCAGGTGATGTATTCTGGGTGAGTTTCACTGAAGGTAATAGCAAAACACTGATTTATACAATTAGAGGTATCTGCAACTGGATGTGAGAGAATCAATGTAATTGGTGACCAGAAAAATACCCATTCTTGCAGAGACCTGTTTGCCGTCATCACACACAATGGCGAGTACCTAACTTTGCCATTCATTTCTGTTGTGCATGTGATACCTCTAAAAGATATATGTGCGTTCATTTCCTCTTACTGTGAGTTATGCTTTTATATCTTTGGGAGCAGCTGTCATCTTCTTTTCCTTTCAAAATTAGCTTGCCACAGTTGGAAACTGAGCAATAAGTTCCTCTCTGCAGTATTGACTCATTTTCCTTCCTGAGCTATTGATTCTCATTAATTCTGTCATCCAAGGAAGACACCACTCTTCATGCACAGAGAATATAACTACAGCATCTGAATCAAGTTCTATTTTATCACTTCTGCTCCATTCAGGAAAAGTCTTGTATAACTGCTCTTTAATTTAAAAAAAAAAAAAAAGCTTATTACCGTATTAACTTTAAATTGCTTTTACAGGTCTTCATTCCACCTATTTTGAGAGATACTGTTGGCTCTGGCTACTCTTGTCCTGAATTAAATTTTATAAGCCAGTGCTCTATATGTGGGTATGGAATTTGCAAAAAGATAATCTTTCTGTTTCTTCTGCTATAAAAGGAGGAGGAAGGCTCTCTCCTCTGATGGAGATGGACACTTCAAAGAGCATCTCCTCTCTCTATCACCATGTGGCTGTTTTGCACCGCTGGAGGCAGCAGGCACACAGTCCATCTCTGCTCATGGGGAACCTTCCCTCTTCTAGTCTCACCCCTTCAGGTAAAGTCACACCAAAGGCTCATTCTCCAAAGTGCTAATGTCCTTGCCTCCCACTGGCAGAAGGAAAGCCTTTTTGGTCTGCTAGCAGTAGCTCAGCACCTCCTAAGGCCGTGATTTGAGTAACACATCTGAGATGAGGAATGGAGGAGGAAGATTCAATGAAATAACAGCTAGAATAGGTGTGCAAAACAAAATCATTCTCTGAGTACTTGTTTTACACTTGTTGGCTGCTCAGGCTACCCATTTTTTAAAGTAAAAATATCACTTTAATTCTGGACTTCATTGCCAAATCAGAGAATAGAATCATGCATTATCATTGTTTGTATTCGTATTTGTAATTATACTTACACTTCAGAGGTGGGGAAAATCCATTATTCATAATACTGTGTTTTAGTTGGTAGAGCACCAGACTCACAGATGATTAGTGATAGCTGATGAAATGAACTTTCTTTAAAGTTCAGAGATCTTGGGTTATATAAAATTTAATTTCTAAAATCAGTACCTTTGATGTCTTCCCAGTACAAATATTTTACTCACAATTAAGCACTTGGGACAAAAGTCTGGGAGAGGGGAGGAGAGGGAAAGGGGAGGGGAGATGTGGTTAAAGGCAGTCCTCAACAGGACAACTTAAAATTATGGCTACAGTTTCCAAATAGCTGCTACTGACTTTCCGGTTTACATAGATTTGCCAAATGTATTTTCTTTGGGTCAGATCTTACTTGTCTTGCTCACACACGTAGTCTCATTGACTACAACCCAAATTTTGCTTACTCTTTCTATTTTTCTAATTCTCTAAGGGCCAGTTCAAATAAAGTAGGGTCCTATGATGCCTATATCAGTTAACAGGCTGTGAGCTTATGCTAATGTTCATGTTAGCTAAACTTTTTCAGGGGAAATATTTGTCTTATTTTCCTTGGTTCTCACAGAAGGAAAATAAGAAAAAAAGAATTTTTTTCCTGCATTTACAGTGGAAATCTTGCCATCCACAGACCAGCCCCAGCCAAATGCTGTGATTAGCCCTGCTCTAAATCGATGCTGCCTCTGCAGTTCCTGACACTTTTTCTGCATACTTTTTGGGGGGGGCAGGAGAGTAGTAGAAATTTTTAAAATTATTATTATTTTCTTTAATCTGGCCAAAATTTTATTTTCCAATATTTTTTGGCTAATAACTACAATACTGCCATGATCTGAGCTTTCACAGATCCCAGCAGTGAAACAGTTAGTTACACGCTGTGCGGAGAATAGCCAGCACTATACGTGGATCTGTGCATTTATACCCGGATCTGTATCTAAACCTGCACCTTTAAGCTCTTTTCTACCTCTGTGAACTCTATTTCTTGGATAACGCCATCCTCAAATAACTCAGGCTATACTACGGAATCCCTTTAGGGGAAAAAAAGAATTTGTAACGGCTTAAATACCTATTCTTCATTGCAAACCGAACTAGGAGCAAGTATGATGGATGAGCTAGAGTGTAGGACTGCAGAAAATTGTGAGTCCTGTTAAGAGGGAGCTGGGCTGAGATTTCTGGCACTTGGGTGCTACTCCTAATGCTTCTGGCAGCCGGCCCTGGAGGCTGGGTGAGTGCCTTCCCACATTGTTTTAAATCTTACTTTGTGTAGAGCTTGGACTATCTCACACTACCTATGCCTAAGTAGTATCATGAACACCCGATTTCCAGTGCAGGTCTTGGGTCTATGGTATACTCATTTTTCCTCTCAGTCTCACCATCTTCTCTCCAGTGTAGTACAATGGTTTTAGTCCTTGCGGATTGAATGCTAGAAATTGTTGTATTTTTTTCTAGAAGAAGTTGGTTGTTTTCCATGAAATAAAAAACCTGATGAGAAGGAACTTTTCCTCCTTAGTCAGGCACATTGCTGAATTGGTTAAGATGACTATTTATATTCAAGTATATTCGTCACTACCTGCAATAATGTCAGATTAATGATGATAAACTTTACTTCAAAGTCCTGCCTTCCCCTTGCCTCCCTTGGCCAGTTGGTAGGGCTGCTGCAGACAAGTTTGTTTCTGGGAGGACACATCTTTTCCTTGGGTGGTAGGAAGAGGTTCCCTGATGTCACATGGCAGCCAGATGGACACTGCCAGAACCCCACAAAACCTGTCCTGCAAAAGGAACGAGCTCAGCCCCCAATCTTTTGCCTGGGGAGCTGTTACCGAGCTCAAGGCAAAACAGCTCTCAGTCTATAAAAAGAAAGTCTGACCTGCTCATCTTAGCCAGCTTGTTTAAATACATCAGTTCATCAGAGAAGTGACAGCGGTTTCGGTAGGCAATAGGGCACCCTCCACACGTCCATGTGAGGTCCTGACTTGCTGCCCTGCTCTCCACTGAGCAAGCTGGAAAGCCCTTGTGATGCCTCCGCCTTTCAGGTCACCCAGTGCCTAAGGTCGGGCAGGTAGGAAGACTCACCACAAAATGTCTCCGGAGCAGTAGGCACCAACTGAGTAATGGCAGGGAGCGAGGAATAACCTTGGTGTACTTAGTTTTCAGCACACTCAGAGGCAAACGGTCACCGAAGATGGAAGAGGGGGAGTACCTGTTGCCAAATGGCTGTGATTACAGTGGTGGCAAACTTCCAGGGAAACAAAGCCTCAGTTCTGTTTTATCAGGATCCTTTGTAAATTGCTATTAAGAAGTATTTTTCAACAATCTCATTTTTATTAGCCGTTTGTGCCCATTATAGTTTTCTAGTTGCTAGTTTGTTATGGCTGTAACATAAATAAAGTTCTAAAAATGTCTCATTTGAGGAATTGCAGAGCTGGGCATGCCATTTAGACACAGATAAAAGCAGATGTAAAGGGCTTTCTTTGTAATGGGTCTATTTTATATTTAATAGAACTGTCATATAAACCTATACTAGCATTTAAAATGCAGTTTCTAGGCTATAAAATAAACACCATTTCTAATATTGCTGTTGGCTTTCACCTATAGGACACAGTTCATTAAAAGCTCTATAAGGCATTTATGTGGGATTGCCATGTGATTTACAAGCTAAGAGCCACCCCAGGCAATGAATGTCTTCCTCCCCCACCTTAGGGACCAGTTCCTCAAAAATATTAATGATACCTGCAGGATCATTCAGTCAGGCAAGACTGGTATGGTCAGAGGTGTAATGCTGCTAGAGACTGGCCTGCTTTTTTTAGCAGGAGCGGTGCTGGGTATAAATGCCTCCTCCAGGCAAAGTAGGCCTGAGAAACACCT